GCACCATCCTGCACACCCAAATGTTGCAGGGTCAATTCCCAGTCAGTGCACATACCTAGGTTGTGGGTTCATTCCCCACTTGGGGTGCATACGGGAAGGCAACTGGTGGATGTTTACCTCTTACACCAATGTCTCCCTCTTTATCTCTCTCTCCCTTCCCCCCTCTCTCTAAAGTCAATAAGCATGTCCTCAGATGAGGATTAAAAAATATAATACTAATAAGATACAATCTCCTGAGTCGAAGACCTGAAGAGATAATTTTCCAAAAAAATAAATAAATAGATGGCCAAAAGAGATATGAAAAGATGCTCAACTTCACTCACTATAAGGGAAATGCAAACCGAAACCTAGTTGAGATATCACCTCACACCTGTTAGAATGTTATCAATAAGATAAGAAATAAAAAAGTTTTAGAAAGGATGTGGGGAAAAGGCAACCCTCCCACATTGCTGATAGCATGAAGGTTCATCAAAAAATCAAGACTAGAGTTACCATATGACTCAGCAATCCCTCTTCTGGGAATCTACCCCAATAATTTGAAAACACTTATTCATAAAGATAGATGCATCCCTGCGTTCACTGCAGCATTATTTACCACAGCCAAAACATGGGAGCAACCTAAGTGTCCTCTGACAGGTAAATAGATGAAGGTGTGGGACATAAATACAATGGAATATTACTCAGCCATAAGATGGAAACATTGTCATCTGCAACACCGTAAGTGGATCTTGCGAGTATTGTGCTAAGTGAAATAAGTCAGATGGACAAGGACAAGAACCATATGATTCCACTCATATGTGGAATATAAGACAGAAAAGAACAATTTGAGCAGATGAAATATACAAACACAAAACAAACTCTTAGGTATAGACAACAGAATGGTGATTATCAGAGAGGACAGGGGGTGAGTGTTATCATTTTATTTAAAAAGATGACAAAGAAGGTAACGGGGTCTAATACACGGTGATTGGAGGAGACTGGACTTCAGGTGGCAAGCATACACTAGAGCAGTGGTCGGCAAACCACGGCTCATGAGCCACATGCGGCTCTTCGGCCCCTTGAGTATGGCTCTTCCACAAAATACCACGTTTTTAGCAAAGGCCAGCTTAGGAGGATCCTAATTAAGTTAATAACAATGTACGTACCTATATAGTTTAATTTTAAAAAATTTGGCTCTCAAAAGAAATTTCAATCGTTGTACTGTTGATATTTGGCTCTGTTGACTAATGAGTTTGCCGACCACTGCACTAGAGTATTAAGACATCATATCACAAAGCTGTGTACCTCAAATGTAATGTTATTAACCAATGTTTCCCTGGTAAAGTAAATAATGAAAAATGCAAGCCAATGATTTTTTTAAAGATACAATTTTGTACTCATTATTGACGTTTTCTCCAAAATTCCTAATGTCTGCAGCAAAACCTCAGCAGCATTATGAAGGCTCAGCATCATTTTAGTCAATGTTAAGCATGAAAACGTCATTCAGCAAGGCTCTCCCTACTAGGATTCAGGCACTTGGAGTGATCAGAGCCAAACCGTAAAATCAACTCAGCAAAGATTAAAATTTTCCCTATCAAATGGATAGCCATACTCTGAAATGTTGTACTGAACCAATCTCCGAGCCATTTTAAAATATAACACTGGGATTTGTAGGGCAGGGAAGCTATTCTGTGTGATACTATAATGGTGGACACATGTCATCATACATTCGTCAAAATCCATAGGACAAGCAACATGGAGAGTGAGGCCCAAGGTGAACTAAGGACTCTGGGTCATGAGGATGAGTCATTGGAGGTTCATCCCCAGCTCTAACAAATGTGCCCGACTGATGTAGGATGTTGATGGTGGGGAAGGCATGGGGTGGAAGGAGAAAGTGGGAATTCTCAGTACTTTCCACTCAACTTCGCTATAAATCTGAAATGGCTCTAAAAATAAAGTGCATTACTTTTTTCAATAAAATGACAACACTGGGACCTCTTAAAGTATTCCTTTCCTTAGGACTCCAACCTAATTACTTAGGGCACAACTTCGCAGAGGAACTACACAACCCAGGTTATGCTGGCGAGAGCCACTATTTCTTCTACTGGCTTTTACCAAATCCTCCACAATTTCAACCAGAGTCATTGGCTCAGGAAAGGGACTATCTGATCATCTGCCTTTTCTTCATGAATTTCATAAAGAAGAGCCAGGAAGGGACATTCTGTACACAACTGAAAGGGAACGTTCAGTGCCTTGCCATGACTCATGAACCTTTGTACATGCACCTTCCTCAAATTTGCCTAGCTCTGTGCAGGCAGCTTTGCATGTGCCAGCAAGCAGCCTTTGAGAGAACACCTGTATCACTGTGCCATCCGGGCAGCTTCAGCAGCCACTTGTGACATAGGAATTTCCGATGGAGCCAGGTGAACTTGGAAGTGTGCAATTCAATTCTCAAAGTTCAGTTCTCCACGTGGGCTTGGAAGTGTGCGATTACAATTGCTTGCAAATGCTTGAGCTCGAAAGTTTGTACGGAGGGAGCAACACGTGGGAGGTTTAAAGGAATTGAGAGGTGAATATTTCTCCCTAAGTCAGACCAGAGTTTCCCAATGTGGGGTCAAGAGAACATTATTTCTGCAAACTATTTCCCCTGCTTAACAAGGGCCCAGGTGTCAAGAATGTTAGGAAACTGCTGTATATTCTACCCGCCTTTTGAACTTTGACAAATATGCAGTCACATATTAAAGGCTCTCAGAAGATGTGATCAAGTTAAGAAGCTTATTGCCCTGGCTGGTTTGGCTCAGTGGATAGAGCATTAGCCTGTGGACCAAAGGGTCCCAGGTTCAATTCGGGTCGAGGGCACATGCCTGGGTTGTGGGCTCAATCCAACGTGCAGGAGGCAGCCAATCAATGATTCCCTCCCTTCCTCTCTCTGAAATCAATAAAAAAATACATATATTTTTTAAAAAGAAACTCATTTACCTTTTTTTAAAAAATATGTTGTCACTGATTTCACAGAGAGGGAGGGAGAGGGAGAAAGAAACAAAAATGATGAGAGAGAATCACTGATGGGCCACCTCCTGCATGCCTTCCACTGGGGATCAAACCCGCAACCTGGGCATGTGCTCTGATCAAGAACCAAAATGTGGAAGATGTATATCCATTACTGGCCTGTCCAAATACACTCCTGTTTGAACATGAGCAGTTTTTCCTCCGATACTCTGCAATTCTTTACCATCAGTGTATTTACATAGTCGGCCATATTTTTGTGTTAACTATACGTCTACTTGTTCGTGGGTTTTTTAAATTTTACTTTATTTTTATCCTAAGAACCATGACCTCCTGGTTCATGGGTCGATGCTCAACCACTGAGCCACACTGGCCAGGCAAAACATTTACCTTTGACCCAGTATTTCCCAAACTTGTGTGGCCACATACCCTTTGCTGCTGCTGCTATTGTAGTCCTTATCGTGCTCATTAACAACCAATGGAATTAGTGCTATGGAAACATACTTTGGGAATCATCGGTCCAGATGGATGATGACAATAATAGTGAGCCATTCAAAATAAACACGAAGCCATTTCTTCTCTAACATAACTGACCCACAATTATCTAAGGGGAGGCGATGTTAACTCGATAAACAACCATGAGCAATGCTGGAGATTTTAACAGAAAACTGAAGTACGGCCTGAACCACAAGGAGTGCACAAACAAACGCCTTTATGTCACTGGTCTCTGAGCCCCATCACTTCTGTTTGGGTCATGCCATGGCCAGCTCATCTCACCAGTTGCCTTTCTTAATGCATCACGATGTTATCTTCCCAACATCAGATGACGCTCGCTGCCGACAGTGTATGCTTATGGTGGTGAAGGAAGTGACTTTGAAATGTTATAAATGTGATTCCCTCACCAATATTTTTTTTATCCTGATGACAGAACCCAGTGAGGAAAGTCCATGCTGTCTTGCCTTTTCTCAGCTTTGCCTAGTAACACCAGCAGCAGCCTCCCTAAGTCACATCTGCTTTGTCTTTTCAAGGGCAAAACTCAAAAGAGGCTTAAGTTAAACTGTGCTCTTCATAGATAAACACCGTCTATATATAAACTCCGAAGAGCTTACAGTACCCGCTACCCCACCAGTGATCCGTCATCTCATTCCTTGGGACTTTGGAAAAAAACACTTAATCTTAATTAAAGCTACACTTTAATCTTCAGAGATATTGTCAACATGTGGAAGATGGATATACATTATTGGCCTGTCCAAATACACTCTTGTTTGAACATGAGCAGTTTTTCCTCTGATACTACACAATTCTTTACCATCAGTATATTTACAGAGTAAGGCATATTTTTGTGTTAACTATACTTCTACTTGTCCATGGGGTTTTTTTTAAATTTACTTTATTTTTATCCTAAGCAGTAATGTGTATAAAAATCAGCGTGACAGGTTCCTCATACTCCTAAAAAATATGAGAGTCCCTGCGCCCCTTAAAATCACCCTGTGTCTCGTCAGCAGAAAGCCTCGCCCACACCTGGGAATTTCTTGCCCTGAAAATAAGGGCTGAGAGTTGGAGGCGGGAACCGTGAAGATAACCTCTCTTTACTCTCCTTCCTACCGGATCCATGCACAAATAATCAAACAAAAAAAAATGATTTATTATACTGCTTCCTGAACGGGGAAAAAAAAAAAAAAAGGAACTCTTTAACATACTGTGATCAGATGGATTTTACGGTGGAGAACTAGCAAACGCATCAGGGCAAGCGTCCCTACTACTGGGTTTCTATGCGATACAATAAATACTCCGAATGAGGCCTTTTCCTGAACGATGCAGTTTGACGAAGACCCGCGCGTACCCTGGAACCAAACCCTGCTAACGGCTAACGCTGCAGATGTGGGGCCTCTGTGTGTTTAATTTTCTTTCTTTCTAATCAAGTGACCTGTTCTCACTTGGTTAAGTTTCAACCACAACGCATCACTGTAGTCTTTTTTTTTTTCAAGATCCACGTCACAGCCCGGCGAGAGAGGAGGAACTTGCAGTGTCTGTGGTAACGCGGCCTGATAAACAGACTGGCTGAGCAGCACGAGCCCGCCCGCCTGCGCTATATAAAGCAGCGGGGCTGTGGGCGAGCAGACAGTCGCCCCATGAGGACCATGCGAGGAGCAGCCATCCCCGCGCCCAGGTTGCACAAAATGCCCGGAATGCTCTTCTCCGCTCCCCCGAAGGAGCTGCAAGGCACAGATCATTCGCTGCTGGATGACAAGACGCAGAAAAGGAGGCCCAAGACCTTGTAAGTTCCCTTTGCTGTCTCGCGTGGGGACTTTGGGCTGAGATTCTCTTGAGTGGCAGAAGGAGTGAGCCCTCCGTTTAGCCGGAGCAGAGCAATTACCTGTTGGGTGTTCTTAGTATATTCTGTTGTATTAAACAGTGAATCATGCCTGGGCATCCAACTCGGGGGGAATTTTTCTGGATTTAAATTGGTTCAATCTTAATCTAACAACATGATCGCCTTAGTCACGGGAGGAGTTTATTTCAGGCTGTTCTCTTTTTATCAATGAAAAGCATCCTACTCACTTTGGTGTCTTTTGCAGCGGAATGGACGTGAAGGCATACCTGAGATCCATGATCCCACATATGGAATCTGGGATGAAACCGTCCAGGTCCAAGGACATGTAAGTACACGAACCCACTGAACGATCCTTGTACAAGTGGTCTATGCATTCGCCCCGTATTCCAGCAAGAGATTAACACGGTGCTTAATGGACTTCGCTTATTTTAAGTAACAAGCCTAAGGAGACGAGCATATTAATCCCAACAGCAATGAAACGCCAACATGTGCGTGCATATAGTTGCTATCTATCATACTGTTGGCAGATGTGTACTTGGATTTTTTTTTTTTGTATTCTGTTGGCAGATATTTTTATATAGTGATTCCATAGGAAACTTCCTCTCGAGAGTAATTCTAAGGAGAGTTTTGTTTCCTTACACGTCTCAGTAAAATGTATCAGGACTAGGGTCTTAGTCTGTGACGTTATGAAAAGGCAGCAGCCGCTCTGACTACGAAAAACATTCACTGACGTGTGCCAACCTTGTCCCTGCAGGCTCTCTGCTCATGAAGTGCTGCAGTGGTCTCAATCTCTGGAGAAACTTCTTGCCAACCGAGGTAAGGAGAGAGGAGCTACCGACCGTGTGTGGGTTCGGCCCAACAGGCTAACAGGTTCAAGGGCGTCGTTATTCAGACACAGGGTCGTGGACAGGAGGGCGTGTGGAGAGCTGTATTCCAGCTTCTGTGTGGTCACGGGTCGTTTCCGCACCTTGTGCCGCGTTGCCCCGTAAGGATTGCTTAGCCCTCGGTGCTGCCACTGACCAATCTGCCAAGCCGGCCACAGGTTCCCAAGGATGGGCTGGCATAGGAGCAAAACTGTAAATGGTGCTGGGCTTCTGAGGTTTAACACTTTTAAAAGCCAGCCAACCCTCTCAGCATGTGGACGGCTGTCCTGAAAGCTACCGAGAGCATGTATTTTTATCAGTAGCGGTCCCTCACTCAATTAGTATTGCATCATTCACTCATTCACAAACTCACTCCTTCAGCCCATTTGCCTGTGGCAAGCATTTCAGAGGTGCCAAGGATTCAAAATCAAAGACACATAATATATCATATGACACATGGCACAACACGGGTACAATAAAGAACGATTTGTAAACAGTGTTGTGAGGCATTTCTGATGAGAGAAGGTGAAGAAGGAAACGGGTTCCCCTTCTTCTTATCACGGCCACTGCAATTCCACTGGGATGAGGACGCGGGAGAGAGGGGTCCATAGGAAGTGTGTCTGTCGAGTGTGCACTTATCCTCTTCTCCCCACCAACACCTTAAGGAGATTTGCCACTAACACAGCTCAACCAGGTTCCTCCACCTTATGACCTGACTTAGTTTAAGATTCAGCCAAACCGATGCAGGTTATAGAAATGGCCCATTTGAAAGTCTCGGTCACACTTGCAAATACAATCAGTGCATCACACACAGGGAACGTAGAGGCCTCACATTTTCTGACTAATGTGAATCGGACGGGGAAATTAGACTCGTTAGTCATAAACATGATGTTAATATCCTTTGTCAATGTTTGCTTCCCTAAGATACTTTACATTAGAAAAGAGGTTGCTTTGTAGCCTCTAGCAGAGCAGAATTTTCATTTCATTAGCAGATGGGAGGGAGCAAAGTACACAGTTTCACAGCCACTGCTCAGCAGCCTGTGGCTGTGGACAAGTGTGTCCGGCCCCAGATAAGCTATAAATGAAGGCATCAGGCCTTTCCATCTCTACAAACCATGACCCAGCTATTTTAGCAACCGCCATATAATAGTATTTTCTAGCAAATTTCTTCTTCAAGATGTTACTTTACTGGCTCAATGAATATGAGTATCTCACCCCTCTCTCTCTCTCTCTCTCTTTTAGCTGGTCAAGACGTTTTCGGCAGTTTCCTAAAGTCTGAGTTCAGTGAGGAGAACATTGAGTTCTGGTTGGCTTGCGAGGACTACAAAAGAACCGAGTCTGATCTCCTGCATGGCAAGGCAGAGAAAATATACAAAGCCTTTGTGCATTCAGACGCTGCTAAACAAGTGAGTATCAAGTTCATGATCACCCGTTCACGTGTGAAGGAACTTGGGCGCAGAAATATCCTTCAGCACACATAGCGAGATGAGGTCCTTTTGGAGTGCCGTGATTTCACAGCTATCTACTTAGGGGTGTTCATATAGCCCAGTGCCATGATCATCTAACTTTCTGTATCTGTGAAAAGATTGGATAAAAGATTCATTTTGCAAAACTAGCTAACGTGATGGGGTCCTGTGTTACTGGCCAGAGTTGCATGCCAGGAAGTTCTTAATAAGCTAGCTTATCTTGGATGAAGATAAAACACAGGTTAGTGTAATACAGACATACATACGATGCAGCGGCAAACATACTTCCCGTTAGTGGTGCCTGCCTTCCAGTTAAATATGTTTGGTTCGAGCCAAAAAAACAGCTGCATAAAGTGCCCTCTCCTCCTATACATTTTAAATGTCCATGTCACTTTTTTGAGAGACATTTAAATTTTTCATGCCTGCCTTTTCTGCATCACCCAACTATACAATGAGCTAACTTGGAGCAAAGGCTTTTTTTGTGATATTTCTTTTTAATTCCGCCACACCTAGGATGGGTCTGGTCTAGAATAGGCATTCAGGAGATATTTGAACTGATTTAAATAAGGGCTTAAACTACCTCTATCTTGAGGTGCTTCCCCAAAAACCCACACAGTAATGTCATAAAATATGCAATAAATTGGAAGTGCGTGTTCACTAATGAGAACTTCCCTTTGTAGATCAATATTGACTTTCACACTCGAGAATCTACAGCCAAGAAGATCAAAGCTCCGACCCCCACGTGTTTCGACGAAGCGCAGAAAATCGTATACACCCTTATGGAGAAGGACTCGTACCCCAGGTTCCTCAAGTCGAATATATACTTAAATCTTCTCAATGACCTTCAAGCGAATAGTCTAAAGTGACCATTTCCCGGCTGGAGGGAATTATAGATGGTATCGAGTACCCAGAAGGAATGTTCCCGGATGGCTCCCTGGGTGAGCACCTTGGCCTTCGGGGGTGACTGGACAGGCCCGGGGAGAGGCGAAAGCACTCACAATGGATTAACGTGGACGCTATCCAGACGTGGGGCTGAAGAAGGTCCGGGTGGAAAATGAGAGCCAGTGGAAGGAAGGAGGCACTTTGGTACTGTCGTGACATAGACTGACTTACGGACTAGAAAACTCCTCAGAACTGACCGGGCTGGGTCATCCCAGCTACACAGAAACTGTGAACAAAGGTTGGAAACTGATTAAGACATGCTATCAGCTTCAAGGTCAACGGATTTCTATGCTGCATATTATTCTACAGAGACTGTCTTGAGCTGCTGAAATCTCTTTCATTCGGATGACTTTTGAGATCACCATTGACACAAAGTGGTGTTAGTGTTGTCTTGTTGTGCGATTGCTTTGGGCTTGAAAGGGATGAAGAAAAGGACGATGTATTTAATTTAAGCTATTGCTCTTAAAACTGGGAAGTCAGGATATATTTGTTAATTAAATTATCAGTGTCCATAATAAACGTGTTTTCTATTAAAATACATACAAGTGGTTCCTTTTTTTAAATTTTCCTGGATATTTTTTTTAACTGTCATTTATTCCTCAGTTTTAACAAAAATTCAAGCAAGGGTTTTCTGCTTTCTATCATTTCTTCAACATCTAAAATTATCGTCCAGTTCATTTGGGGTTGTCTACAATGAGACAGCCCAAATGGTTCCTGAAAATATATACAATCACAATTAGGAATTTGATACATTTCACTGGGTCTGTTCACCTTTGTTTAACCCAAAATGCTTACTTAGTATGCATCCAGGAAAAGTGAGATTTTATGGGCATATTAAACTATTAAGGGCACAAGCTGTTAACATATTTTTATATGCGCATGGCTATTTTAAAGTTGCAATTAAACATTAGTTCTTTAAAAAATTTTAAATGGAACTATCATATAATTAATCCTATATTTTATGTATTGTATATATGTATTAGACAGAATTTATTAGTTTTGTCTTTGTTATGAGAATGCATAAAAATCAAACAAATATAATATGCTTTCATGTAGCCAATCTTCAAACTGATGTGCAACTAAAAAAGTCCTTTACAAAGGAACAAAAAAGTTATTTCAAGAAGTAACAACTGCCTGGGGTAGAAGGTGGGGGCAGGCTGGAAGAAGTCAATGGGGGGAGGAAAACTTTCAACAATAAAGATTTTTTTTAAAAAAATTCAAGCAAGGGTCTTCTTTAAAAAAAGAAAAAAGTAACAACTGATATTTTATGGTGGTTGAAGGTTTATAAAACCCAGATGCATTTTCTTATTTAATGCTCATAGCAATCCTGTGAAAGCCAAGACTCAGGAAGATCAAATCACTACTTCCCAAATTTAGCTAACCTTCAGAATTACCTAGAATGTTAGCAAAACAAAGCACCCCTTTCAGGGCCCCCCGCCCAGGCTGACCGAGTCAGAATCTCCAAGGGATCCAGTCTAATCCATGCTCCTTCCACAAGGCGACACTGCCCGCTACTGACCAGAAGGCATTTCCTCTCACAAGTCTGCAGAAGGCCTAAGTGTCGCCTAAGTAGAACAGTAAGACCACTCTGGAGAGATTGCCTACAGAGAGCAGAAAAAAAAAAAAAAATTCAAGAAGATGCAGAATCCAGCATAGCCTGGAGAACTAGGATGGAATCATCAGCCATCCACACACCACACTGAAATACCATGGATGCCCTCAGTACAGGCATGTCCGGTTACTGGGCACGCAGGGAAGAGGTGGGGCAATGTGCAGATCCGATTTTAAAAGGATTGTTCTTGAGTTTCCATGGGGCAGCATCCCAATTAGCTCTGCTTTAAGCTTTATCCTATGGCTTAGCAGGTCGTATAATAACAGGGGCTTAGGAAGGGAGTCCGGTCCCCTCCTGCTTCTCCTCTGCTTCCTCTTCTCCTTCTCCTTCCCCTTCCCCTTCCCCTTCTGCTTCCCCTCCTCCTCCTCCTCCATCATCATCATCATCATCATCATCATCATCATCATCATCATCATCATCGGGTGTTTCTCTCCCCCTTTTCCCCTCTCTCCAGCCTCTTCTCAATCCACGCTCTGGACAGCCACAAGCATCACCTTCTCAAACACAGATCTGGACATGTCATTCTCATGACAGACGAATCTCTCCTGGACCTCAAGACACTCCCAGCGCGACCTTCAGGGTGTAGCTCTCATTACTCCCCTCTGGGTATCCTTCCCACCGTGACGTCACACTGGATTAATTGCCTTTTCTTGAAGCCCTTGGTCTTCACTTTGGTTAATCTCTACCTAAAGTTCCTTTTCCTACCTCCTTCCAGGCTCCAAAGCCCATTTATTCAAGCCCCAGGAAGAATCACTCCTCCGTAAAGGCCTTCAAACACCTTACCCCACTATGGAGTTATTTTGAGTGTCGGCTGGAGGTGTTCTGAGTCCATATAAACACAAGAGACCCGGGTTCTATTTCTAGTACTCCTGTCACATGACATCATCCAGTCCCTGCGAGCTGTGGAGCGTGAGGAGTCCAGCACACACACACTGGCCATAAAATGAATGTTCTGGTCTTTGTCTTTCTATTTCTAGTACTCCTGTCACATGACATCATCCAGTTGCCGCGGGCTGTGGAGCGTGAGGAGTCCAGCACACACACGCTGGCCATAAAATGAATGTTCTGGTCTTTGTCTTGACAAGAAGCCATGCTACAGAGCCATCCACTTTCTGGACAGATTGGTCAAAACAAACATTTCAGACACCTCTTCATTTTCAAAAAGGAAAATATTATCATAGCTGCATGAATTCAAGATATCACACAAGAGCACTTGGGAAGATAAGTTTCCCTTCCTTGGCATTGTTGGTTATGGGGTGGCTGTTTTATAAGAGATGTGTTTAGCTCCGGGGACATCTGCTGGCTAAAGAAACCTGATCCAACTGCTCAATCTGAGATTCACGGGTTGTGTTCTGTTGTCATACTAAAAGCAGGGGCAACGGTGGTGAACCATGTACAGATGATGTGCTGTGGAATTGTGCACTCGAAACCTGTATAATTTTGTTAACCAATACATTCAATGAAAAGGAAAAATAGCCCCAGCTGGTTTAGCTCAGTGGATAGAGTGTCAGCCTGCAAACTGCAAGGGTCCCAAGTTCGATTCCAGTCAAGGGCTTGACCCCAGTAGGACGCGTGCAGGAGGCAGCCAATCAATGATTCTTGCTCATCATTGACATTTCTATCTCTTTCTCCCTCTCCCTTCCTCTCTGAAATCAATAAAAATATGTTTTTTAAGGAAAAACTAAATTTAAAATTTTAATTTAAAAATAAAATATTAGTTAAAAACAAACTCATTTTCCTCAGACTTATTTTACATTATTTCTAATAGACATATTATAGAAAACTAGGACTCTTAGAAGGTAGGAATTAGGGTAGTGATCCCCCCCACCCATGATGTTGAATAAAAAGCACACATTAACCCATATAGCTCACACAGAATAAAGTTTCTTTCGGTGTGAAAACACAGGCTATATTATATCAGTAGGAATCCATGACGATTTGCTATTGAGCAAATAAAAATTCTGAAATATGTGAAGGAAGAAATAAACAGTGATTGAAAGTATCACAAATATAAATAATTGCTATTTGATGTAGGAGCTCAAGACACCCATGAAAACATATCTATAAACAGAAAACACCCATCAACCACAGAAACAGTGCCAACCTTTCTGTGGAGACCAGCATTGTAAAGGCTAAAAATGTATCATCTTAATGGCAAAATTGCGTGTCTTACTCTGAGACTGACCTAAATGAAACTTTCCTACAAGTAAGCCAGTGGCAAAATATAGAATCTTCTAGGGAGGGTTCTGGGCACCTTCCAAAAACAGGAGACGAAACGGAAGTCTAGCCTGGCTAGTGCCGCTCAATGGTTGAGCGTTGACCTATGAACCAGGAGGTCAGGGCACATGCCCTGTAGGGGGCATGCAGGAGGCAGCCCATCAATGATTCTCTCTCATCATGGATGTTTCTATCTCTCTCTCCCTCTCCCTTTCTCTATGAAAGCAATAAAAATATAATTTTCAAAAACAAAACCTGAAGTCTAGGATTCAGGCCGGGGGGGACAGGCGAAGCAGCTGTGAAACCGCAGCCGCCTTGAGATACAAGGACATTTTTTTGACTTGAAAGAAGGCAACTCAAGGGACCATCACTTTTACCTACTCAGCCAACATCAAATATTTATTGAACAACCACTAAGTGCAAAGCATGTTACACTACACAGGACGTGTCTCTCTCTCTCTCTCTCCCTCTCCCTTTCTCTATGAAAGCAATAAAAATATAATTTTCAAAAACAAAACCTGAAGTCTAGGATTCAGGCCGGGGGGGACAGGCGAAGCAGCTGTGAAAACGCAGCCGCCTTGAGATACAAGGACACCTGACAGCAGTGCTGACTGGGATGAAGTCAATGGTGGGAAAGGAACTCCGCCTCTTTCCGTAAAAGGTGGGGCCCTTCATCAAGGCGATGGGTCATTCGATTGTGGAGGCAAAGTATGGCTTTAGAGCAATGTCAGTCGCCCAACAACATGTGGGTTAAATTCAAAGCAATGCCAATGACGTCACGAGTGACTAGCTCGCCGGGGGGGGGGACGGGCGAAGCAGCTATGAAACAGCAGCCGCCTTGGGATACAAGGACGCCTGACAGCAGTGCTGACTGGGATGAAGTCAATGGTGGGAAAGGAACTCCGCCTCTTTCCGTAAAAGGTGGGGCCCTTCATCAAGGCGATGGGTCATTCGATTGTGGAGGCAAAGTATGGCTTTAGAGCAATGTCAGTCGCCCAACAACATGTGGGTTAAATTCAAAGCAATGCCAATGACGTCACGAGTGACTAGATCGCCGGCTTGATTGCGAGCTCTGGAACTCACAAAGACATGTCCATTCTGGCACGGATGGGCTCGGAAAAAGCTGGAATAGGTCTATCCTCCTAACTGACTAACCGCACTGTGCCCACACCCATCTCTTCTTACTAGAGCTAATGGTAGAATCCAAAAGTAATGATTTCCTTCCTCATTCCAGGAGGCTGTGATGGAGACTGGCTGGACGCTCCCCGACTTGGGGCCCTCTCGGCAAACAGTAAGTCCACCAGGCCCTCTTAAAGTAAGCCGCAAAAAGGACCCTTCCAGAAATGTTCTCTGCAGTCACCATTTACTGGGGGGAGAAGGGGGGGTTACTTCTCCACAGCTCCTTTATTTGAATTCGGTATTTAGCCTTGAATGGAAGTTTGATATTTGACCTTGATTTAAGGGAGCCACAAAACTACGTTCTGTTTGGTGAGGAGAAGGGATGGGCGCCGTTCTAGGGCTGACGACAGGCACCGTGATGGCGAAGGACCCCAGCAAAGCGGCGTGAAGGGATTATTTCCACGCTCAGAACAGGCATGCGGCCCCAACTGGCATGTGTGCGAGTGGGAAATAAAAACGGCCGAGGTCGGGGGTTGATTTGTTACAGTAACGAGGGCATTTTATCCTGATGAATGTGAAGATACTGATTTGTGTACTTAAGTTTCCCTTTT